CCGGAGGCCTTTCCCGCGCGCCTCCTGCGGGGCGCTGGGCAGCACAGCGGCGGCCGCGCCCTAACGCGGGGAGCCCGCGCTGACCCTCCAGGCAGGCAGCCAGCGGTGCGAGGGGCCTCTGGGAAGGAGCGAATTTGAGTGAAGGCCTGGAGGTCTGCCTGGCAGAGAGGGCTTTCCCCCTGGGGGGGAGCTGCAGGTGCAAAGGCCCTGAGGCTGGAGGAGGGCCAGAGCTCGGTGAGTCGGCGGCGCGTCCCAGCTCCTAAGGAACTGGTTCTGCGCCAGGCAGCCCGGCCTTGTCTGACATCAGCCCCTGCCTGCTGCTCCCGGCCAATCAACAGTGTATCTTCCAGACACAGTCTCATCGCTGTATCCCGGGTGCCCAGCGGAGGGTGAAACACCAAGCCTGCCTCTTGCCATAAACAGCATATGGTTTAGGTGCTGGGCATGTTAGGGGGAGAGTAAATGACCAGACCCCTGTTCAGTGCCTGCCCGCTCAGGAGGGGGGACAGCAAGCCTACCTCCCACCCTTCACAGCCAGGCAGGAACCTGACCCACCTGTGGGAGGAAGACCCCCGGCCTGCCCCTCAACTGCAAAATCCGGAGTTTCCCTCTCACTGAGTCCTGCTGGGCCCATAAATTTGTATTTGGAACTGCTCTGGAACCACATTTAAAAAAATGTTTTTTACTTATTGGTTTGAGAGAGAGAGAATGAGAAACATCAATTTGTTGTTCCACTTATTTATGCCTTCACTGGTTGATTCTTTTATGTGCCCTGACTGGGGATCGAACCCGCACCCTTGGTGTATGGGGACCACACTCTAACCAGCTGAGCTACCCTGCCAGAGTGGGACCCACATTTTAACATTTTGAGGAGCTTTCCTGCCATCAAGGACAGCGTTTTCCAAGAGTGTCCAAAGTTGGGGGGCAGCTGCTGAGCCCCAGGGGATCCAGGGGAGGGTCCTGGGATGGCCTAGACCAGCCTGACTTGCGAATTTGATGAAAGCACCCCTGGAGGTAAGCCTTGAAATGCAGTAAACTCCCAAGAATGTGGCTCTCAAACTTGGGTCCTCTGGCCACCCCCTCCCAACTCCCTGGAGAGACTGACTCAGGTCATCCAGGAATTGGTTAGCAGTCACGCCAGGGGATTCTTTTCTAAGAAAAGATATACAGAAAGAGGTTTGTTATGAAGGGTTGGCCTCACCTGATTACAGGGGCTAAGAAGTCCCAATGAGACAGGTCAGTAAGCCAGGACAAGCGGAATAAGGAAACTGAGGCAGACAGCTGAACAAACTGGCAGAGCAATTCACAGCAGGTCACTTCCCTGGAGACAACATCTAGGCCTCAGCTGTGTTTCAGCTCCAGGCCCAGAAAAGCAGCAAAACCAGGTGGACAACACCAGGACCAGCTGCAGCGACTAATGACCCCCTGCTCTGGTGCTGACCAATCAGTGAAGACCAGGACCTGAAAGGGTACACCTGGAAAACTGATGAATATTCTGCTGAAACCCTCCCGAGACCTTCCAAGCCTTAAGACAAAGGACCCAGCCCCGCCCATTCCCCTTCCTTTCTTCTTCCCCCACAGGCATGAATCTCTTGCAACCAGGGGAGCAGTGGGCAGTGGCAGCTCGTCCCAGGCTAACCCCTGAACCTGTTCCCAAGGCCCCCTTTTCTCTGACTTCCCAGAGAGCTAGGGCAGCCCAGCCTAGGCTCTCCTGTTGCTTCTCCTATGCTAAGCCCTTTCTTGTTTTACTGTCCCAGCTTTAATAAATGCACCCTTATAGTCACCTGGACTCGTGCTGTGAAATTTTTCCTGCGCAGAGTCAAAAACCCACACACTGCCGGCTGGCCCTAGGCAGACCCACCAAGGGCCAAGTCCTCTTTCCCCTAGTAACGCCGTGTTTCGCTGTTAGCAGGAGGCTCAGGGAAGTGATGGGTTAGTTCCAGTCCAAGGCCAAAGGCCTGAGAACCAGGAGCACCCATGTCCCAGGACAGGAGACGATGGGAGTCCCAGCTCAGCAGAGCGCAAAGCTGGCCTCTGCTTTTCCTTTCTGTTCAGGCCCTCAGCGGACTGGGTGGTGCCTGCCTGCACTGGTGAGACCATCTTGGCACACGAGAGCTTGACACGAGATTCCAAAGGGCCACGAAATCACGTTTGCACGTTGTGTGGAAAACACGAGGACACTGCTTTCTGGACCACTGTTGTTAGAACCCTATTTTTTTAAAGGCACCATTAGAAAAAGCAGAGCAACAGTGACCTCTGGTGGACACGAACGGCATACGTACAACAGCTCATGGAACCCAATGGGCTTGTACTTTCACCTAAAATGCCACCTGACCTGTGATCTGCCAGCTCCCACCCCCCATCCCGTCACTTTATCAGAGGGCCCGCCTCTCACAAACCCAGGGTCCTCTAATTGGGTGCACGGCCCTGGCACATGAACACCTCTGGGGCACCCAAAGGCTGATGTGAAATATTTTCCATGGAACAACCTACCTCTTCCCTTCCTGGCTGCCGGGAAAACAAGGCCGCAGGGAGGTTGACCCCGAGAGGACTCAGCGGGGGCCTCTCCCACTCCTACAGCACAAGCTCCTGAGAGGTAGCTAGGGCTGCATGCGGGTGCAGGGTCCCTCCTCGCAGCCCCGATGCTCCACTGGGGTCAGCACAGGCTGCTCCAGCCACTCAGGCCACCGTCAGGGCTCGGCCCCTCGGTGAGGGCAGGCGGATCCGAGGAGGGACCCACGGCTCTTCAGTCCCCCCGCCCCCCGCCGCGTCCTGGGCCTGCTCCGCCTTGTCGAGAGGGTTACAAACCACAGGACCTCAGACACGGCCACCACGCCTTCTGTGGCCTGTGCTTTGGAATCGGCCACGTGTCGCCGACCTCGGGGCTCTCTCCTTTGCCCTCTTGTAATTGTTTTTTAAAAAATTCATCAGAATTGCCTATGACACAAAGCTGGGGCACCAAGATGTCGCAGGGGCAGAGTCGGCAATCTTCTTCACAGTCCTATCCCGCCCCCCCGGAGAGCCCCTGGCCTGCGCTTCCCCTGGGCAGTGCCCCACCAGCCCCCGGTGCCATCACCTCTCCCCCTGCGAGAGGGTGGGAGGAATGACCGCCTCGCTGCCCGGGAACCCAGGCTGACCCAGATAAATGGCGACAGGAACCGAGTCAGTCCTGGGAGGAAGGAAGCTGGTGTGGAGGGGACGGGAGGGGCCGGACACAGGTCATTAAAAGGGACTTGCGAGATGTGAAAGACAGTTAGTGAAGGTGACAGACACATCTGGTGGGAGTGCTCAGGGCTTAGCTGTAAAAAACAAGAATTTTTTTTCATCTAGTTTTATAGTGTCCTTTAAAGATCCCGCCCCCGTATGTCCTGCATGCAGGGCACCTGTGAGTACAGAAAGGAGACGAAATGGCAGCTCAAAAAAAGGAATCTTTTAATAAAAACTGCTCATAAAAATCCTAATATATTTCAAAAAGCAAGATATTTCTTAGTACATTTATAAAAGAACATTTGGTCCTTTTACAAAAAGCTCCCTTTTAATTTAAATACATTTCTTATTTACAGATTAGACAGAAAATACCATCTCTAGTTGCAAAGCATATTGCACATTACAGAGAGAAGCGTGTGTTTCTGTAGGTTTTCCAGAGTTTCTAACTTGACTTTTTTTTAAAAAGATTTACTTTTCTTGTGCATAATAAATAATAATGCAGCTTGTGTCTTGCTATTTAAAACTACAACAAAATACCTTTAAAAATATTTCTCTGCCTCTGAGGAAGGGGGGATGAATCAGGAAGGTCCACAGGAATTGAACATGGTCACCAGACTCCCCTCCACGTTCACGTGGGAACGTAGCCCTGAGCCCCGCAAGTCCTGGGGACACTGCCCAGCTCCCCCGACTTTCACAGAAGCCCTGCCCTGCAGGGGAGGCACTGGGGCAGGAGCTGGATGCAGGAGGAAAGAGGAAGGTCTGTGAGAGGCCCTGTCAGCCGCCCTGCGGGGTGGCCGGCGCGGGATCAGAAAGTGCCAGAGAAAGCTCTCGGAACCCCCCGAGAGAAGGAATGTCGGGTGCGATGCTCAGTACACGCAGCTACGGAAAATGCTCAGGGCAGGGGTGGGGAGGGCGGGGTCAGGCTCAGGCCCTCCGACTGCACAACTGCACCTCCCAGCCAGGCCCGGGGACTGTCCTCTGAAGTCACCTGCAGACACCACCTGTGCACAAATACACAGGAAGTGCCAGAGCCCGTGCGCCGGCCCCGCGGTCTGCAAACGGCAGGTTTGAAGAGCTGGGTGTCTGCAGGAAAGACGTGGGGACAGAGCCGGTTCCTCAGGAGGCCAGCACGGCAGGGAGCTGGCCGACACTTCCTCTGTCACCTCCTGCTCCGGAAGCAGAGTTCCTGCCACGTCATCTGCAGTGGTGAAGCCACCCTGCACAGGTTCAGCTCCTGGTGGGCGAGACCCAGACTCCAGCAGCGCAACGGGAAGGCAGCCTTCCCGACAGTTCTCCCAAAAAAGCAGATGGAGACACTAGCTCCACGTGGGACCAGGAGTGTGGCAGGTGCACAGCTGTTCCCAAGGGGGACGGTGCTCAGCCAGGGAGCTCCCGGGCAAAGCCCAGCGCGGGAACCTCTGCCACTGCCCTGCTCAGGCCTCCCCGCCTGAAATCGCCCCACGGATGCTCAGGGTGTGGCCGTCACAGCTGCTGACAACCCAATTTCCAAAAAGAAAACAAGCAAGCTTTGCACTCGGCTCAGAGAGCAGCCTCGATGCCCGGCCCGGGCACCCTCTGCCATCCAGTCCCACAGATCACTCCAGACTGGGCGGGAGCCGCCCACCCTGGGACAAGTTCAGTGCCCGGAGACGAAGAGGGTGCGAGACTTAATACAGAACACGTCCCGTGCCCCCGGGATCCTCGGGGGGCCTTTGTGGCTCTCAGGTGGCCCCCCCAGACCACACAGAGGAAGAGCGGCCCGAGTGGGCTGCAGTGTCGTCCCCGGAGCAGGAGGGAAGCCAGGGCGGCACCAAGAGAGGAAACGGATGCTTGAGGGACCCACTTTCTTGCCTAATGAGACCCATTCTCCCCAATGGGTCATAAAGAGTCCCCTGGTTTATCCTGGGGAGAAGGTACAGGGATGCTCTGCCTCTAAAATGGGAAGTTTTGGTCATACAGAGCCAATGAGAATGTTTAAAATACATACTATCCTCCAGGAAAATTTTCTATTCAGCAGATGAGACAATGTTGCTAAACAGACCGCTCCTGAAGAGAAGGTGGAACAGAGCCTTGGATTCTTTTACCCTAAAACAACTTGCATAGTCAACGTTTCAAAGGTGGAGGTGACACATTTATTACTAAAAAGTCCCCTTTCAAAAATCTCAAAGAACTGAATTATACTTCTCTCTTAAAACACTGTAACACGAATTTTCAAGAAGGAATAAAACGTGTCCCTTTCGATGGATACAATGGCTTAGCTTCTAGCTTTAAAAAGGCTACAATGAAGTAACGTGAAGTGCGAGCGGCGGGAGTTGAGAGGCTCCCTCCCCTTCCTACTGGGATTCGCGTCAGTCAGCCTCTGAGGCCACACGGAAGGCAGGTGAGGGGTTCGAGCCCCTGGGCGTGAGCCCTCAGCTCAGGTTCAGAGAGGGGTTCTGGCCGAGGAAACAAGAAAGCAAGGGGCAGGAGAGAGAGGGCGTCTCGGCGCAAGTTCCTCCCTGTCAAGCTTGTTCACTTGCCGGGTGGCGTCTTCCTGACCCCCTCCCCCCCGCCGTGGTCCCGCCCCGTGGCAGCACAGGGCAGGCCTGCTAAAACCACAGCGGCGCCAACGGAAATCACATAAGGCACTGGGCTAAGGCCCGCGCTGCAGAGCGGCCGGAGGCGGGCAGCCCTGCGGCCAGCCCCTCCCGGGCTCAGCTAACTGGCACGAGACGCAGGAAACAAAAGCAGAGCATGAATCTGACCCCCACGGTCAGAATCGAGAGCCCTCGGTTAGTAACTGAGACCGATGGACGCGCAGGCAGCCTTAGGTGCTTTTCCCTCCCCAGAAGGCACCCTGGTCCTGGAACTACGAGAGTTCCTCAGGTAAGTTCAAAAGAAATGTAAAACACATCCACAAGGTCTACCGCTGAGCTCCTAGAGTGCGAGGCACAGCCTAAGAGGCTGCCTGTGGGAATTCAGGCAACGCCACGATTCGTAAGCAAGTAACTGAGAACACTGCGAAGGTCCCTGGGGTGCAGATGAACGGCTGGGTGACCTTTTCCCCATGTGATCCAAAACCATGGGCGGGTGTCTGGGAGGGAGCCCAATATCCACCGAGACAGAAAGGAGGACAAAATGCAGTAAGTGCAAGGTGCCAGGTGAACCTCAGGCCCTGTGCCCAGGAGTCCACGCACAGCCCGCGAACAGAGGCGGCGACGCTGCGGTCACGGCGAGGGCCGGCGAGGGGAGGCGACTGCTGGACCCCATGGCCTGAAGCTACGAAGATCCACCCACCGTGCTGAGTAACAGCAGCAGGTCCGACTTCTCTGGACCTTCTCACTTCAAATTACATCCTGAAAAAAACAGGGCATTTTATTGAACAGAAGGGAAACACTAAAGTAAGTGGGACTCTCGTGGGTGCGGGCGAGGCGCGGACAGAATGCCTGCGGCACTGCGGACGGATGGCCAGGCGCCTCCCCTCCCCTCGGACGGGACCGGGCGTGGCTGGGCGGCCGTCGGTCGAGTTCGGCTGGGCCCGCAGAGCAGCGCAGGTCAGACGAGGCCGACCATCTGGTCGATCTGTCTCATGTAGACGCTCTTCAGGGGCAGCGAGTATCTCCGCTCGTCAGGGACTCGGTTGCACTGGAAAGACGTGGGGACGGGGAATTTCGATTAAAACTCCATGTGCTGAGCCTCAGGGAATGCGGCTGGATGACCCGACTCGGGTCTCAGCCGGGCATGGTGGACACCCGGGGTGTCCTGTGTGCCGCAGACGACCCCGAGCCCACCCCCAGCCGTGACAACGGAAGCTGTCTGCAGGCACTGCCGACGTCCCCTGCGGAGCAGAGCACCCAGCTGAGGAGCACGGGTGTAATGGGACACCCCACTTCCCAGGGGAGGTGGGGCCGGGGAGGCGCCATCCACGCCCCTGGGCAGCGGCCGGACTCCCAGCTGTGTGGCCTCCGCCTGCCCCTGGGCCCGTGCACTGCCGTCCACCCCGCTGAGGCCGACCGGCTGGATTCTGTAAGAGGTTCCCTTGCCCTCAGGCTCCGGCAGATCGGAAGGAAGGAGGGTCTCGGGCCGCTCTGCTGGCTCCCTCCGGCAAGGTCCCTGCCCCCGCTCAGAGCAGGTGCTGCCCAGGCCACCCGCCCACGCGCTCTCCCACCCAGCTCCGTGACCATCTCCCCGCCGACCCCTCAGCCGGAGTGACAATGGCCATGGCTCCTGCGGTTCCCACACCCTGCAGAAACCTGCGTGAACAGCCTTTGCAGAACTCGCCTCAGGTAGCCAGACCCGAGGGCGCCAAGTAGCTCACTAGCAGCGTTTTCCCTCCATCCACAGGCAGAGCGCGCCTGGGAAAGGCCACTTACGTTGGAGCTGGAGTTGATGACTTTCAGGTCGTGAGACTTGGGCCTCTGCACAGACTTCCCCTCCACGTCCCTTGGTCCCTCTTCCGGAAAGAACTCCTTCCAGGGCGACTCCCGAAGGTGCTTGTCCACAGACACAATGTGTCCCTCAGTTGTAAACATGTATCTGGTTCCGGATTTGTGTACTGGATTCTCCTCATCAAACAGCTGGTGGGAAAGAAGAAACAATTGGAAACTGTAGCAGGTGGGACCTCAGGCGGTGCAGCCTCCTCAGGAAGGGGGTGCTTGGCCCTCAGGCTTCTCAGTGACAAGTGGGTGGAAACACATCAGTTAACAACCATGGTTCCCAACTTGGCTGCAAGTCTGAGTCACCAGTTCTGCTTAAACTCAGAGGTACCCCCACCCAACTAGAGATTCACAAGGCCTAGGACTAAGAGCCAAACTTGGGCCATAAGTGAAGCCCCTGGGTGATCCCCACATGCTCCCCGAGAGGTCCTGGGCCGCAGTTCTAGACTCTCTGCACCCCACACACTGGCCGGTGCCAGAGGGAGGAGGCCGGTGTTTTATCCTTTGACCCCCAGCACGTGGGCTACCTTCCAGCTCATTCCCGTGTCAGCACACGGGCTGGGCTCTGAGGACACAGGGCACACAGGGCCCAGGAAACTCATGTTAGATGGCAGGCGCTGACGAGTGTGACGCCTGCTCCGAGACGGAACACGTCCCGCGTGGACCCTGCAACACGCACCAGGTACAAGTACTTGCAGGTCTCGCTGAGGAAGAAGCTCTCCATCCGGTCCTCCTTGGACTTGTCGATGACGTGGTGCAGTGTGGCGTACCCGCACCTGCAAGACAGGCTCCGTCAGCCCAGCCCGCGCCTCCGGTGCGCACTCGCTCGCGAAGCAGGAGCCAGGCCACCAGCCGCCGCAGGACACGCCGACCGCGCCAGGGTCAAGCGCCGCCCGCTTTCAGCCCAGACTGTCTGCAGGTTCGTTTAAAAACGGACTTGGCGGCCGAATCACCGGGTTAGTTGTGGGGGGAGGGGCCGGGCGCTGGCAGGTGTTGCCCGAAGCCTAACGTGACACCGGGAAATGACTGGCGACAAGTTCAGGGCTGGCTGACGTTTTCTGCCCTGATATTTAGACAAAGTCTGACTGCTCCTCTCTGCACTCGGCCAGTACCGTGCTAATATTCTGCCTGTGCGTTTTCGTGCTCCCCAAACCTTTTACCGTATGTTTTATTTGTATAACTAGGGGAAAGAAGTTGCTTAGAAAGAACGCAGTCTGCGGGCTGGCGCGGCCCAGCGGCTGAGCATCGACCTAGGATCCAGGAGATCGGGGTTCGAGTCCCGCCAGGGCCCAGGCCCGGGTTGCGGCTCGATCCCCAGCAGGGGGCGTGCGGGAGGCAGCCGATCAATGACTCTCATCACTGATGTTTCTCTCTCTCTCCCTCTCTATGAAATCAACAAAGATATATTAAAAAAAAAAGAAAGGAATGCAGTCTGCCAGAATCTTACAGACAGAAACAGTAAAAAAAAAGCCATTCCCACTATAACGGACAGGCTCCATTACACAAAAAGGAATCAGTTCCCCCACAAAATTAACATTAGTGACCCGTCCTATAAATCAAAGTGCAACAGAGAACAGGACAATGTTTCCCCGGAGCAGCTCCAAACAAACCACAGCGGCCGACGGGAGGAAGGAACTTGGAGACTAACTTGGCTTTCGTGTACTTCTCCAGGCTCTGCAGGATGTCCATTCCCACGTGGAGGTAGAAGGGGTTCTTGGTGGCCTAGAGAGAGCGAGAGAACGGGGGATGTGCCATCGCAAACATCACGGGGCCACAGGAATTTCCGAGCAGAGGAGTCCAAGTGGCAGAGGAGGCACAGGGCGGGCCACTCTGTCCTGAGGGTCAGTGTCACAGGACCAAGGAGTCTGTCAGCTCACGTCCCGGGGCGCCGACGGCCGGTTAGGGCGCAGCGGGCCCGAGGCAGCCGCTCCGGGCAGAACCGTGCCCTGCTTGGCCGCCCTGAGCCCGCCAGGGCCGGGAACAGGCAAGGCCCCGCCGACAGAGCCACCTCTGGGCGCAAATCCAGTTCCCGTCCTGCCTGGAAGCCCCCAGAGACGCGCCTCGGGCAGGGGAGGCGGGCGTCCGCCCGCGCCCTGCTCAGCTCCCAGATCCTCGGGGGCTGCGCCGGCTCCGACCACCCGAGCTCCTGGGGCGGCTGTGCCGTCGTCACACGCTCAGGGATGGTTGTTAGGTGGCTCGGTTCACCCCACTAATAGTTTAAAAGCTGGGGGTCATCTTTAAAAGCTGAGGATATGCCCCTGGTGCCGACTCGCAGCAGCAAAATCAGAGAACTAAGGGGTGGCTGTCGCTGGCCTGAGAGGGCGCCGGGAGGGGCCTCGGGGCGAGGCCGGAGGACGGTGTCCACCGACCCTAAGGAAACGGCCAGCGCGAGGAAGCAGCCCGACAGGAGCGGAGATAAGCCCAGAGGCAGCAGCCCTAGGCCCCGGGGCGCAGGCGGCACCAGGCACATGGTCCTCCAAGGGTGTGCTGACCCCCGAGCTCAGGGAGGCAGCCTGAGGGTGTCCTTCCCCGAGAGGTTACGTGAAGCTCCCGGGGCACGGGCACTGCTCCCGGTTTCACCGGATTCCCCCCTTTTCATCTAGAAGCAAATGACAAGGACCCAGTGTCAGGCTCGATCCCCAGCCCTGGTCGGGGCGCATGGGGGAGGCACCCCATCGACGTGTCTCTCCCAGCCACGTTTCTCTCCCCCTCCCTCCCACTCTCTGAAAAAGCAATGAAAAAATACCCTCAGGTGAAGACTAAAAAAACACAGGCGTCCGCGTGGGCTGCCCCAGGCCTGCGGCCACACCGCGAGCAGCGCCTCCGGTGAACGGCGAGGACACCGGGGCACGCGGACGGCAGGCGCCTGTAAGCGTCGGCCTCAACCCGCGCGGACTCCCCGGGCAGGAACGTTCCCGCCCGCACGGAAGTCACCGCACAAAAGGCGAATGCGGTGTTTTAAACATTAAACAAAATAGGAACCTTTTGTCTGAATAATTACTACCGGTAATCAGGCCGGTTCCACAGCACAGGAGCTGCACCCCCAGGGCTGTGCGGTCAAGCAGATTTGGGGAACACCGAGTCCCAAACCGATCGTGATTATCTGAGGTGGCGGGAAATGAGCCCTCAGGGAAGCCACGGCCAGGCTCTGCGACAGGTCAGGTAAAAGCCTGTGACCGCGGACGCCTTCCCTGCCCTGTGGGACCGCGAACGACGCTGACTAGGGACCGTCACCACGAAACAACAAGCCCCGCGCCAGCCGGCAGGGGCTCGCCGAGCACCAGCCACCGGGCCGCCCCAGGCCGCCCCCAGGCCAGCGGTGAGCGGACCGGGCACCTGGTAGAGCAGGTACGTGGACTCCACCAGCTCCGGCCGCAGCGGGTAGAAGAGCACGTCGGGGGCCTGCAGCTGCCAGTTGTACCGCTCCGGGAGGGCCCCGTACCGCTTCCAGATGGCGTAGTAGAAGGCGTGCAGGCAGATGGCGTCCTCCACGTCTCCTATCAGCACCTGCGGGACGCAGGTCGCCAGGCTGAGGCGCTGTGCCCAGGGTGGCAGCAGGCCGCGCCAAGGCCGGGGCTCGCCCTCCACGCACCCGCCCCCACCCCGGGGGAGACAAGACCAACCCCAAAGTGGGAACCCCGGGTGAGAGACGCCCTCTCGAGGGGGCCGCCAGCGCCGGGCGGATGTGAACGGCACCGGCCAAGGGCTCGTGTTCGAGATCGCCCAGCCCGGCCGGCGTGGCTCAGCGGCGGAGCGTCGGCCTGGGACCCAGGAGATCGCGGTTTGACTCCCGGTCAGGGCACACGCCCGGGCTGCGGGCTCCATCCCCAGTCGGGGGCGTGCGGGAGGCAGCCGGTCGATGACTCTCTCATCACTGATGTTTCTCTCTCTCTCCCTCTCCCTTCCTCTCTCTGAAATCAATAAGAACATTTTTTTGGGGGGAAAATGAAGACAGCCGAGAGGGGACATCCCCAAATGACACACAGTCACTTTTCAGGCACAGCTTCATGCTTATCTGTGGCTCCGGCCAACACTCTGGCAACCGAGACAGGTTGTGCCCCTGATCCCCACGTATGAAGGAGCCAGGGAACACGAGGCGCCGTGAAAAGTAGAGAGAAAGCAAAGCCCTCCCCACGAGTGCGTTTTCTCAGCAAATATGCGGGTGGAGTACCTGCAGCCCGGGGAAGAAAGCCTGCAGGGAGTCGATCCACGTGTTCATCAGCCGCCCGCTGAACATGTCCACGTTGACGTAGAGCGGGGGGTCCCCTTCGCCCTCGTTGCAGGCTTCCCGGCTGTGGCCAGCAGAGCAGCGAGGGTGAGAGAGATGCCGAGGCGCCAGCCCCACCCCCTAGTGGCCCCTGGGGTTTGGCGTCAGTGGCATCAAGGTTAAGGTCCCTCCTCCCTCCTTTGAGCCTCCGCGGACAGGCCGCCTCTACCCACCGGGCAGGGAGCCACCTCCCACAGCGCGAGAGTTGGAACTCAGCCCCGGGCAGGCCAGAGCTCACCGCCCTCCGCGGAAGGCACGTGGACAGTCAGGCGTGAGGGCGGGACCACGCAGGGAAGGGGCACACGGCACGGTCTGCGTGGGATCCCACTGAGTGGGGAGGCCTGGTTATTTCTGCATAAAAAGGAGCCTCTTCTCTAATGAGGTCCCACACCGCGGGCCTGCAGGGATGCATCCGAGCAAGACGCCCAAGGGATTGCTGCTCAATTCAATCTGGGGCTTTAAAAAGTGAAAATGAGCCCTGGCCGGGTGGCTCAGCTGGTTGGAGCGACGTCCTGTGCACCGGAGTGTCGCAGGTTCGATCCCCGGTCAGGGCACATGCCTGGGTTGTGGGTTCGATCCCCGGCAGGGGTGTGTGCGAGGCAGCCGATCGATGTCTCTCTCCCACGTGGATGCTGCTCTCTCTCCCCGCCCCGCCTCCCTCTCAAAAAATCAAAATTTAAAACGTTAACAACAACAACATCAACAACAAAAGTAAAAACGGCTGAGCTCTGGCCAAACAGCCTGTTAGCGGAGCTCAGCACTCGCAGCGGTTCCCACGACAGCCGGCGTGGACACGGGTCCGAGAAAGATCCTGCCACGCAGGACGCCCGGAGCCGTGACCAACAGGCCCGGGGAGCGAGGCGACATCGGAGGAGCCGCCGGGACGCAGCAGACGTGCTGTTTAAAGCCAAGAGGGAAACGACGAGGCGCCTGCCCTGCCCTCACGGGGGAGAGCAATCCCAGCAAGTCCTCGGAAAGTAAGAGCCGAAGCGACTCGGGGACCATCCTGCCTGCAGCTCTACCTGCAGCGAAAGCCAGCGAAACACGGGCGGTGCCCCCGCTCCCGGCGGCCAGGCCCCCGGAGGGCACCGGGGATGCTGCCTCCCCACAGCCACGCGCGCGGCCCCTCCCGGCGGCCAGGCCCGTCTGCGTGACCAGGACACGGGCCGTGCTGGCCTGTCATTCTCAGATTAGGTCACAAAGCGCGTGGCTTCCACTTGGCCTCTTTCTCTCCACGGGAAGAGGCCATGAGCCGCCTACAAAGAGGCCTGAGGAGCTGAGACCTGCAGCCAGCAGCCAGCGGGAAACGGCCACTGAGCCTGGGAGTGGACCCTCCGGCCCTGACCAGCCTTGACGAGGCACAGCCCCCACCGACAGCCTGGGGACAGCCTCGTGAGACCCTGATCAGCTCAGCTGCTTCCGGGTCCCGGCCCCCCAACACTGCAAGATGCTGTCTGCTGCTCTAAGCCGAGCTCTGGGGTGACCTGTGACGCAGCAGCAGGGGGCTCATACCCCTCCTCACCCCCAGACGGCTGACAAGCAGCAGTGAGGGCCGAGGCCAGCGGACCCTGTGAATTCAGGGCGAGACGAGCAGGACCGCGTCGGACCCGCGTCCCGGGCGCCGGGAGAGACGCAGGCAGACGCACCCTCTGCGCAGGTGGCTCTGGATGCTGCGGTAGGCGGCGTTGAACATGTCCAGGTCTTCCTTCTCTCCAAAGAGAATGTAGGACTTCAGGAGGTACTCATAGAAGGAGTCCAGCCCGGCCCCCAGGCCGCTCTGCTTCCCAACCCAATGGCCCGTCTGAATGTTGACCACGTTGCCTGTGAAGCACACAGAGCAGGTCAGGCCCCACCTGTCGGGGGGGGGGGCAGGTTTCCCAGGGGGACCCCCATACACGACAACCTCCGTCCTGGGCAGGAGCAGAAGGAAGGGAAGCTTGGCCTCAAACCGTCCTGAGTCCTAACAGCGGCTTGGACAGCCAGGAAAGCTTCCCGAACAGACCGGGTTTGACCACCAATGTGGGGAAAACATTTAGTGCAAAATAAAAACAGGGTTGTCATTTTGCTTTTCCCATCGAACCTCACAACTGCCCTGAGCCATGTCACAGGAAAACCTGGGGGGGGCACACGCTGAGGGCCCACCTCCGACTGATCAGTTTTCAGGGCTGGAGAAGGTGCCACCTACCCAGCAGCCCCGTGCCGTCGCTCCGGAGGTTCCAGAGGGCTTTCACCGCCCGCCTGGCCACCCACTCAAACGTGGAGTCCCCCAGCAGGCGGCTCAGGATCCCAAACTCCACCAGGAGGGAGCCAGCCCCAGCCGTGCACGTCTCGTTGTTGCTGTCGGGGGGAACGCCCGTCTTCAGGTTCACCTAGGGACAGGGAGAGACAACGGGTTCGTGGCAAAACCCCGGGAGCCCGCATGGCTCGAAGGCAAGGCCTCAGCCACCACCTGAACGGAGGAGCCACACTCGCTGCAACGAGTCAGCTCCCCCCGGGACGACACGAGAGCTGCAGACACACACGGACGGGACGCTGAGAGCGCCACAGCCTTGTCTGGCCAACACGGGCCGCCCAGGGCCGCTCGCTCGTCCACCCCTTCCCAGCAGGTCCCCCTCGTGGTCACACGGCCCCAGGGCTGGGGCTGGACCCAAGCTCGGCTGTGCAGCCACTGACACGTGTCGTGAGCCACTGCGAGCGAGCTCCTGCTCAGACACGCGGCCAGAGGCAACAGGCCGCTCCGTCCCAGGCGCCGCGGCCTGGCCGGGCTCTGCTGGCTACCCAAACGCTGGCTCAGCCCCCAGAGGAGTCCTGGGCTCGGCACATCAGACACCACGAGGGTGAAATCTTACTCCAGATCTTGCATTTAGATCAGCAGCACACTGGCTGGTCTGTGCAGGCCTCGCTTGGAAGCAACTGCACGAAACAGTCAAAGGGAGTCACCGAGCTCCTACAACTACCCCGGGAGGGTCTCTGGGGAAATGCACCCGGGTCAGAAACAAAGACAAGTCCCCACCAGGGGCTATAAGTTCCACCCGTGAAAGGACAGTACTGAGCCCAGGACACAACTCCTTCGGAAGGGGGAAGGCGCCGTGGGATACGTCACTGTGTGCCCGGCCCACGCAGCCGCTCAGTAAATGCTAAACGAATCGAAAAACGTTTACATCGTATTTAGGGCCAAATTCTCTCTAAGATACAGCTTTCCTCTTACATATCAACTCCATTCCTCCCCCGCAAATACAGGGCACCCCCCAAAATGTGCACACACTGTAACAGCTGGGAGCTCACTTAATTTTCACTCCATTTCAGGTTTAACTGATTTGAAATAGCGGGTGAAGCCAGACTACCTTTTGGACAAAGAAAATTTATCCTAAAGTGCCGCTCGACTTTTTTTATGGGGACACATAGAAGATTAAGTTTACGGTACAAGACCGGCAGCAGTCAACGCGTTGAGGGCGCACAAACGCCGCGTGAAATGGCCCGACGTCGGCGATGCCACGGCTTCACGCTATCAGCAGGGCCTGGGCCAGAAAGGTCATTAGTTTAAAAACAGGTGTTGACAAAAAAAATTATTCATTTCTGTAGATTCTTCTAAATTTTGAAAATGAGCTGTGTGTTAGTCAGCACTGACTTTACAGTCACCCCACGTGTGTGCGCATTTCTTGGGAAACACCCTGTACATTAATCGACAAAGACTTTCGCCCAGGAAGACGGGGGCTGCGGGCCGGCCTGCCTACCCGCGGGTAGGGAATCCCCGTCTTGGTGTTCTCAAAGGCAGGGAGGAGCCTCACGGCCAGGTCGTGGGCCATGTGCAGCAGCTCGTTGTCATAGTCCTTAATCGTCATGTCCCCAAAGGGCTGCTTGGAGTCTGTTATTATTCTGTGGGCAGAAAGGAGGCTTCCCAGGACCCTAGTGACAGGAGGAACACAGGAAAACAGAATCACGTTGGCTGTGAGATGTGTACAGTCCCGTTCAGACAGGCAGAGCAGCCCGGCCGGCGTGGCCCAGCAGGTGAGCCTCGGCCTAGGGGCCAGGCGATCGGGGTTCGAGTCCCGGTCGGGGCACATGCCCGGGCTGCGGGCTTGATCCCCAGGAGGAGTCCTCCAGGGGCCGGGAGAGGGGAACTTTCATTTCCTTTGGAAATTTATAAGTTTTCCTAGGACACGGCAAAGGGAGGAAACGAGACCGGACACCCACTAACGGGACACCTATCTCACACCTTCGTCCAAGCGTGTCTTTCTGGTCAGTCCAAAGTGTGATCACTCTGAGACGTCGATTATTCCCGGCTGGACAAATCCAGCACGAGGATGGAAAACGCGGGTGCGCCCACGCGGTCTCCGTGGCCTCTGCCTTGGTCCCCGGCCCGTGGGCCCCGTGGGGTCCCCGCCTCACACGCACAGGCGGCCGCCGGCCCCTTACGCGCTGCGTTACCTGATGGTGGCCTCGAAGACTTGCACGGTGGAGTCCTTGTCAAATGAAACGGTGTCGATCACTAACTTGACTGCCTTCTGGAACTCGGAGGAATTTCCCATGATCTTGAAAAAGAGGAACACGAACCATTACAACAGCCTGAGGGGAGACGGGTGCCCGTCTGCGGCAGAGGAGCCCGGGGCGCTCCTGGGCTACGACGCGTGGTGAGGCCTGGCCTCCGGCTCAGCAGCCACGGCTCCTCGTAAAACCGTCAGCCCCCCTCTCTCCCCCTCACGCAGGGCATCAGAATCCCTAAAATTCTAGAAACGGGTCAAAATACATCCCCAAACTGAAGAAACAAAATCGTGGCCTTTCCTTGCTCCTCGAACACACGGAGGCCCCGAACATCTGGAAAACGGCCGTTGCTGGTGACCCAGGTGTCTCAACACTCGGAGAAACAGCCCTGTTCTCTTTTGGAGCCAAGCGTAAAACCAGAGACATTCAAAACAAACCAAACACGAGGAACAGTCGGCTCTGCCCCTTAAACGCGCACCCGCGAGCCGCGATCCCCATCTGGGCGCCCGGACGTGACGTCCCACCAAGCTGCCGTCTCCACGTGAACTGCAACCGGGCACGGAACTTTACCGCTGACCCTGAACCGAGAAGCTTTCACGCTGGTCACAGTTTCACGACGACGCTGGAACTACGACGGCATCAGAAGGACACACCCAGAGGCAGGAAAGACAAACGACCGCCGTCGGACACTGCTCCTTCCAGGTGCGCCCCATCTCCTGGCCTTTGCTGGCCTGCGCAGGGCCGCCCGGCGCTCAGGGCCCCGCAGCAGGCGGAGCCATCGCGCTCAGGCGCAGGCTGCGGGCGGCCGGGGGTCACCACCTCCGAGGGGCCGCTGCGCAGCTCCAGGCGCCTGTTCGCCGTGTCAGCAAACAGAAGCAGCTCCTAAAAACAAGGCCGGAGCGCGAGCCCAGCAAGGGCCGGATGCTGTACAATGAAAGCCACAGACGGGCTGTTTCCTCTCGGGGTCCGTTTCCTTCCAGATGCTCGGCAGCACCAGTATCTGCCGGCAGCTGCAGCTGTGGATCTGGTTTCAGGTCAAGAGGAAGGTGGGGAGGGAAGCTGGCGCCTGCAGCTCACACCGGAACTGACCGGTGCAGTCGGAACAGCCAGCCAGGCCCGCGTCCCTCACTCAGGCGCAGGGCGGGCTGGGCTGGACAGGGCGGCAGGCGTGTGTCCACACTGCAGGACTTCTCAGAGCCTCTAAGATGCTGGTGTGCGCTGTGGCTCCCCAGCAGTCAGACAGACACGCCGACTTCTGCGAGTTCACTGGGGACAGAATTCTACTTTCAAGGGGGGCCCTTGGAACCTGTGCTGGGAAACCCTGGCCCAGTAGAAATTCATTTTTTGAACACACATCTGCATTAGACGCGGACAGTGCGGTGGATGAGAGAGATAAGGCCCTGAACTTCACGAGCGCAGCAGGGGCACAGGAAGACGCACAGGGCAAGAGAGCTGGGGCTTCCACAGCTGTATAGGAGTCTTGGGACTTTGTTAAGCAACACATGTGGCTGAGTCAGCCTGTTATCTTGACAAGTCAGCTCTAACTGTGCCAAACATACTGGTCTGGGCACATCCGGTCGGCTATGGTGGATGAGGGAGCTGGAGTAATAAACGCAGGAGCAGATCCTGGGAAACCGAAGCGCTTGGCACCCCAGCCTGGCCAGACCGCAGCGGCTGCCCCATCGCACCGCGGGCGAGGGGGACGCGGAATGGCTCTCAGACTCCGAAGCCCCAGTGGCTCCACTAGGAGCAGCACACTGGCCGGCGCTGACGCGAACTCTGCCAGCATTACGCAACCCACTCCCGACGCCTTAACCTCTTACGGGGAAGCTGAAAAGACAGAGCCAATGATTGAACGCAGGACGGCTCGGGCCACAGTAAGGCTTTCTAACGGCAAAGGCTTGCTGGCCACGGAGGGGAGGGATCTGAAAGCTCTGAGTTGGGTGGCGGAGGTCGGGAAGGCCTGGCGCCGAGCACCCACCCCGGCGCTCACTCTTCTACCTGCTCTGCAACTCCGGCCAAAGGTCTCCGGTTCCCCAGCCAACGTGGGGCAAGGGCGGCACCGAGGGGGAGCCCGGCGGGCAGGGCCCGCAGCGAGGACAGGCCTGCTCGCACCCGGGGGCGGGGGGCCGGCGGCGTGTCGGGGGACCCCCGACCCTCAGCCCTTGTTCTTCGCTTCTGAAACCTCCTTTTTACGGCTGTGAAGGTTTACGGTCACTGTAAACTCTAAAGAAATGTCTTTCGACTCTTTGAGAGAATAAAGTAGAGGGAAACGGGGCCGGACACAGGTCCCCCCACTCATCACACTTTCCACTCCTCTCTTTAGGGGAATCACGTCTCCCCTCATTTACCTCCAATGCTTCTCCTGCTCTGGGCATTAATGTCATTAAAAGAAACAACGGTTATGAAAGCTGGAAATATACAGGGTGTCCCCCCAAAAACGTATACACACTTTTTCCTGACAGCTCAACCGATGTTTCTTTCTTTTCAGATTTAACCCACTGGAATTAATAATTATTCAAAGTGTGTATACATTTTCGGGGGACACCCTATATTTTGAGTATCAGGTTTCCAGGAATGCCCATCCTTGGGGGGAAACTAGGGGTCTCAAATTCCAAAATATCTTAATGAATTTTTGAAAATACCGAGGCTAAATACTTACTGCAAGTGTATCCAACGAATCCACGAGTGTCAGGGAATAATTCCCCAGGACGTCATTGATGTTCAGATTGGAACTAAAAAGGAAACAAATTAAAATGAAACAAAGGCATTTATTTTAAAAGAGAAAAAATGCAGTAAAACTCGTAACGCCCATTGGAAACTAAAACTGCCGGCAACTCCCATTTACTCAGGACCGTTCAGGGTGGATCAGGGTGGCGAAGGCCCTTCTATCTCACGCCAGTTTTTATGACGTCCGACAGCTGAACCGAGTCACAGGGCGGCCGAGACACGGGCCAAGGGTGGGAGACCCGCCCGGAAGCCGGCGGCGAGTCACCTGCCGTCTCAGGGATGCAGTTTTATAGCCATAGATGCTCTCTCCGCTCAGCTTCAAACAGCTCCGACTTTCAAACCCTCAGGAACAAGAAGGGGCAGCCCCTGTCGAGCGACCTGCCCCAAATACTCCACCAGGAAACCGGCCCTCCGGCCGTCACACCAGAGAGGAGCCGGTCCCTCCAGCGCAGCCTTAGCCTCGCTCGCCGGGCCTCCGGGTGGGGGAATAAATGAACTTCACCCCACGTTTCACTAACCCTCTCCCCACGTCCCAGCACCTACGTGGGCCTGAGAGAGGAGCTGCGTCACTTCTGCGACAGGCTCCCTGTCCCCTGACACCGCTTCCCTCTCGGAAACCACCTGGCGACCCAGCGCCAGGGCTCCGCGGGCACTCTGGCCTCCTCGCTGACAGTGATCCTCGGTCCGGGTCCCACAACCCAGAGAGGAGCCCGGAAGCTCGAAAAGACCAAAGTAAGGAGAGAAATACGGCGACTGTTTAAACACCAAAGCGACAGAGCCCGGTTCTGTCGTCACTGCTACTCTGGCGTCTTCCGTCAACCCCAGGCCATTTCACCTGCTCCCTGGGACACTCTAGAGGGTCCTCGGCCAGTGCCCGGGGGACAGCTCTACAGCCTCCCCTGTCGTCTGGAGCCTCCCAGCTGCCTCGCTTCACGCTGTTGGGCCACTTAATCTGGGACAGACCGCGCGGCAAAACTTGGGGCCCGTTTTTAATATTTACTTATTTATTTACTTACTTATTTTAATCACCCAAGGACATGTTTCCATGGATTTTAGAGAGAGAGGGAGGGAGAGGGAGAGAGAGAGAGAGAGAGAGGTCGATCGGTCGCCTCCTGCACACACCCCAACAGGGGATCGGAACCTGTAACTTTTGGGGTGCATAAGATGATGCTCCAACCAACTGAGCCACACCAGCCAGGGCTACAGCCAGGTTTTTAAGAACAAGCTGGTGTAGCCCGGCGGGTGTGGCTCGGGTGGCTGAGCGTCTCCCGCGCCAGGGGGTCTCCGGCCCGACTCGGGGCGCACGCCTGGGTTCCGGCTCCCACCCCAGCGGGGGGCTCGCAGGAGGCAGCCCATCGATGTCGACGATCCTCCCTCAGCACTGACGTTTCTGTCTCTCTCCCTACCCCTTCCTCTCTCTCTAAAATCAATTAAAACATATTAAAAAAAACAAACCCAAACCATCAAAAAACAAGCTCGTGTAGAGGGCCGTCCAGGAGCTGGGATCTCGTCCCGCACGAGCCAGAACCGGGAGGCCGCGCGGCTGAGAAACCGCACCTGCCCGCTTCCTCCGTCTGTCCGCTCTAAGAAAACTCACGGGGTTGCAGAGGGTCCTGCCCGGGGAGCGCCGCCCGTGGGTGAAAGAAGCACCTGGAGGGCGTGCCTGCCAAGGCACACGGGAGACCGGGACACTGGAGGAGGTCACGGAGGTCACGGGAGGCAGGGACACCCTCGTGCCCAGCCCCCCACCTCCAGGCTCTGGGGCGTCCGTGTGGAACTAGAGGGCTCCGCTGCTCAGGGGCAGACAGGCCTCCCGCCGCCCACTCACCAGGAGACGGTCCCTGACCATTCAGCACTCGAGCCAGACGCCCTCCTGGCCCAAACGGGCGCATTACCCTGATCCATTTATGCCAAACTGCGATGTGGGCAGACCCGGGGTTGGTTCTCCGCAGCTGCTCCTGACCGACGCCGGCCTGACTCGGTCTAAGTGCCTCCAGCCCAGCACCCAGCCTTCCGGGCCGGGCTGGGCGCAGAGCACGCGCCTTCCGGTCAGACCGCCGGCCGGCCCGCGGGACACAATCAGGCTCCCCACTTCGTGCCACCCACCCCCCTGCGAATTCTTAAGGTTATCACCCCAAAACAGAGCTGACGGGAAAGACTCAAACATATGATTAAAATTCCCACGTCCACTTAGCCCGTGCCAGCTGCTGAGACCTGCCTGGCACCAGGCAGAGGGCACCTCAGACACAGCCCGTGTCCAGGGGACTGGTCATCTGGGGGGACAGGCCAAGGGGAAGGAGGGTAAACACGCAGCAGAATCAACTCTCAAACATCGTCAAAAGCTGGGGTACCGGCTCCCAGGACAGGCACCAAAAGCAGGGCAGAGCCGATCAAGGAAAATCACCGTCAGGCAGGTCAAGGGCATCACAGAGGGGCCTGCAGACACGGCCACCCAGACCTGGGGCCCAGGAATGAGTCCGCCGGGGGGCTTGTTAATTTGGGGTTTGCTGTTTTGTTTGAATCGTGATCCGGGTGGGAGAAAGCAGAGAAGGGTCACGGGCCCAGGACCTGACCCATCATTGGCTGAAGGATCGCAAATCTGTAATATCCAACCGGCTCGAAGAAACCGTGAGCCGGGAACCTTCCACCCAAATTGGGGATGTGAGAGGAACTGACTTTGCATAGTAACCAGGGTGGGACCCGAAGGCTCGCTATTTTTAGAGCTCAGGTTTTCCTGACTTCATGGTCACCGAGCACTTGACCACTGGTCAAACAAGGCGGCGAGATCAGCCTCAAGAAAATGTGACCAAAAAAAACAAAAGATTTGTGGTTAGCACCTGTGTTTTGTTTCCAGACTTTTTACAGAATATTCCAGTAGGTAAGCCACTCTATAGTTTTAAAACAAATCCTAAGAATATATTTGACAACAATCCCTGGAAGACCCTCGGTTTTGGAACTATCCGAACAATTTTTATTACAGGTTGTTTATTTTGGGGACGTGAATGTGCCCTATTGTTTCAGAGCCAGATGGTCAACCTCCCTTGAAAATACTCTAGTCTGGGAGGAGCTAGGTGAACGGAAGGGGAGTGAGAAAAATTAATCTTCCCACTCTTCGGAAGGTCCACTCCAGGCCACCAGAACCCAGCTCTCTCAGCTCCTCGAAGACACCGAGGTTTACCAACTACAGCCCTCCCAAATGCCACCCTTCCAAGGCCATCTTTCCAACAGCATGTGCACCTCAGAGCAACCTGACCTCAATCTACCCAGGCTGTCACCCAGCCCTCAAACCGAAACCCTCGCCGGCGGCTTCAGCCTGAGACAAAGGCCCGAGCCACCCGGAACCCCCGCGGGCACCAGCAGGCCAATCGCCTGCTGCCTCCTGTCCCGTTCACGGGCGACGGGCTCTGGATACGGAAAAGTCACCAAACTCACTCTCCGGACCACCAGGGTCCCCCCTGAAAGTGTCACCCATCGCAGGTCCTCATTAAACCGTGCTCCTCAGGCCCACCCCGTAAAAAGGAATCTGAGGAAACGTCCGTGAGACAACAGGCGCTTGCTGAAAGTGTCCCCTCCCTCCCCCGTAACCCCACGGCGGGCGGCAGTGAGGAAACCCTAAGGCCCAAACCCGCACACACACTTTCATCTCCAGGTTCTGACTCTGAAACCTGTACAGGCACAAGGCCCGGGGCTGGCGGAAAAGACCGATGGAAAATAACTATCTGGTGGGATTTCAGGCTTTCTCCTTTTTCCAAATTTTAATTTTTCTCAGAAAATTAAGATGAAAAAACACACACCTAAGTATAAAGTCCAGTAGGGCCAAGCAAAACCAATAGTTCATTCATTCCCACAATCTGGAAGGCCTAGCAGTTCTTTCATCATTTAATAAAACTTATTCTCAAAAAAAAAACAAAACAGAAATAGGAAATACGTTTGTATGTATAAAGACTGATACAGAACACTGAGAAAAACAGCTCCGCTTCCCACCGTTTTAGGAAGGTCTGATCTTTCTAAGTGAACCTGGGATGCGAGCTCCCCTCACTCAAAATCACGCTCTCAAACTGTAACTTAGGACGTGAATTTGCAGATGAACAGACCATTATTGAAACGCAACAAGGCCCTTTAGCGTTGGGCTTCCTTTTCAGACCCCAAGGACTGGACTCGGGCTTTTCCCAGGTTTGGAAACACCTGTGTCCAGACGTCCGCAGGCCCAGCCCACCTGCTCCTCTGGCACCTGCAGGGCGCGGCGGGACCAGGCCCAGGCCGCAGGGTCAGCCCAGCCGCACCCTCCCGGGCTGGGAGGTCCTCCCGGGCCTGCTGTCCTCTTGGACTCTGAGGTCAGCAGCAGTGACCCTTGGAGCGCAGTCTCCACAAACAAAGCTGATGGAAGCAGGGGCCTGGCCGCCCTCCCCACACAGCCCTGCCGCCCGAGGGGGGGGAAGCTATGGGACAGACAGACAGACAGACAGGGCAACCCGCTGACAGTCCACTCAGCCGCCCAGGGAGTCTCCCCGGAGGGTCAGGACCCCAAATCTGGGCCAGGCAGGCCCTCCCCGCCCCACCCAAGGGTCCTCAGCCGACGCAGCAGCCCCGTAAGGAAGGGGCAAGGTGCTCCCCGGGCTCCCCCCAAACTCACTGGGTGGCTTGGACAAGTCCTTTCCCGGGGCGACTCCTGAATTTTCATGTTTAGGCAGAAAAGCCAGGGGTAGGGGAAGGGGGGTGAGGCTTGTTTTCAAGCTGCGCTCGCAAGGGACTTCGCTCCGCTACTCGCTCCCTGGAGGGGGCGGCGCCGGGCGCCGAGAGCCCCCAGT